TTGTTTCCACCTTGGGGTACCAATGAACAGCTCTTCTGAGCATTTGTGCACAAGTGTTTGGGTGGATGATGCTTCTCTTTCTCTTTGTCATGTACCTGGAATTGCTGGGTTGTGTGGTAATTCTAGGATTTAAAATTTTTTATTTATGCATACAGACCTGTGGCACAGGCTAGAAGTGCAGGCGGTGAGAGGCTTCACCAGAGACAGAGTGGGAGCAAAGCAGGTGGATTGACTGGAATCCCCTCACACTGCTGAGGAGAGCAGCGGGTGAGACAGGAGAGGTCTGCTGTGCCATGTGGGTCACCTCTGAGGCTGGGGATCGAGCTCATACTGAAGCGGCTGTGGCTGGCTGCACAGTGCTGTGTTTTAACCCACGGTGCCACCAGAGAGGGCCTTCTATAATTTTTTGAGGAAGCTCCATACTGTTTTCCTGGTGAGTAAACCCAGATACAATCCCCAATCCCATCTACAGTGTGCAAGGACCACATTTTCTCCAGCATTTGTTACCTCTGATCTTTCCTATGGTGATCTAACATGGAGACAGACACGGCAAGACTGGCCTAATTGGAGAGAAGAGGGGCCTTTGACAAGAGGTGGGGGGAGGCACAGCTCAGTGAAAGGCCCAGAAATAAGACACACCCTAGTGGGGGGGTGGCGAGAGGGGGCTGTGAGCCTGGGGCTCACCCAGGACGTGCTTTCACGGGGGCAGAATGGTTGGTTTCAGCCCTCTGGGAATCGGACTTCACTGGCCCATGCCTGGGGTGCCAGTAAGGAATCAGGCTTTGGGTGTTTTGAGACTTCACTGATTTTTAAAGCATTTTAGTGTGTGACAGTACAATCCGCCTCTCCATTCAGCCTCCTTCCCAATCCTTGGGTTCTGAGGAGCATCAGTTCCCAGAGTTTGGGAACGGCTCCATGGTTAGCTATGGGTAGGAAATCAGCTGAATTTGATTCACTGGGATTTGGATTAGTCTAAATCTAAGAAGGAAATCAGTGTGTTGTTTTAATCCCATACCCCCCATTATACTGTAAGTATTTACTGTCTAAAAAGTGGGCTTTTTAAAAATTGGAAGTCAAGTGGAAGGCTACAAAATTAATTCTTTCCTTTATTCCCAGATCCTTAGTCTTGCCCAGAAGGAATGATTGTTTCCAGGCACTGAGGGATCCTCCCCAAAATAGTCAAGACACCTGCAACAGCTAGTCAGATCCTGACAGGGGTTGGGGGGTGGGGGCATCCCACAGCTCTCATTTTGCAGATGAGGAAATTGAGGCCTAGAAAGGATAGTGACTGGAATTATTTTTGATCACACCCTGATGCAAATATTCATTAGCAACAATATACATATACTTTGTTTCTGTTCATTTTAACAAAGATATACATATATATACATAGTATAGAATTTGTTTTATTTATCCCAGCCTATATGTGATTTTCTACAGCTAAAGCAGTTAAACAGGTACTTTTTATTTATTTTATTTTTATTTTTTAAATTATTTTTATCGGGCCCTCCCTGGTGGCGCAGTGGGTTAAAGCACAGCACTGAGAAGCTAAAGCCACTTCAGCATGAATTCGATCCCTGCCCTGGAGGTGATCCACATGGCGTGGCAGACTTTTTCCT